ACGACACGAGCAGGGGGCAGACTCAGGACCAGACCTGGACGCTGCAGCAAACACCTGACCAGACGAAGGGACCCTACCAGACTCAGCACCTGGAGGAGAAGCAGTGGTCAGTGTGTACAGGCTCGACCCTGGCCGACGTGTAAACGTAGCCAGGTGGCGACCTGTATCCGCCTCCGTGCAGTGGGTCACCCGCTGACGAGCAGGGGTGAACTGGTGGACACCCGCATCCTGGAGGTCAGCACCACTCACCAAGTTCGTCGAGAACGAGGGGAGGTAGAGACCAGTCAGGGTGCCAGAGGGGGCCGCCGGACACGGGAGGACAGTGGAGAAGCGAGACAGGACAGGCCCCCCAGAGGGGTCAGCCAGGGACACCGCAACCGGCTGACTCAGCGGCGTGAGAGTGGTGCGGTCCCTAAAGAAGGAGCGAGACGCTCTAGAGTCAAGGGTGAAGGTGTGAGAGGCCGAAGCCGACACAGTACCTGAGAGGGCAGACTCACCAGCACCTGAGAGCACAGACGCACTGGCACCTAGAGCAGCAGCCTCACTAATACCTGACGCGGCAGTACCAATGCCCGGGTCGGGCGGGAAACACCGGTAACAGTCATCCTCATCACTACCAGTCACAGCATACATAGCAGAGAGAATAGCATCGAAATCAAGATCATAAATAGCTACACCAGCCCTAGACAGCTCTCCCCAGCGGGGGATCTCAGCGGCCTCCGGAAACTGCTGACGCCAGGCGTCGGTCAGGCGGCCAAAGCAGCGGCGGGCTGTGTGGGCGCCTCCACACCTCTCCCCTGCACGGTCACCTGTGCGAAGAACGTAGGGGCAGGGACCAAGCGCACCACCACGCTGACGCTGCAAGTACCACTCACGGAGCTGCTGAGGGCCGGGGACGGTGCGAGAGCGCTGCTGCTGCTGTGGCTGCTGCTGCGGCTGCTGCTGTTGCTGCTGCTGCTGCTGGCGCTGACCACCCCCAGAGCTGCTCCGCTGGGACGAGCCACTCCGACCCCCGCCTCCACCGCCACCCCCGCCTCCACCGCCACCCCCGTCTCCACTGCCACCTCCCCCACCAGGACCGTCGCTCCCACCGCTCCCACCGCCTCCTCCGCTACCACCTCCGCCGCCACCTCCGCCTCCACCGCCGCCACCAGTACCTCCACTCCCGCCACCACCCCCACCGCCACCCCCACTCCCCCCGCCACCCCCACCGCCTCCTCCACCGCCCCCTCGAGCTCCACCCGCTCCCTTGCCCCCCTTGCTCTTGCCAGAGCGGCGTCTGCCGCTGGGGGCAGACGCCGCGCCGACCGACTCAAAACCAGTGAGGTCGGCCGCAGCGGCAGAGGCGACAGAGGGCAGCAGGGGGGAAGGACCACACCCCTCAAAGATGGGGGTGCGAGGGTCACCCCGAGAGGCCCCTACAGCGACAATACTCTTCTCAGCCGCTAGCAGGGACTCCTCAAGGAGGTCGACAGTGAGAGTGGTGGGACAGACAGAGAGAAACTGGTCCCTAACGACACGAAGGGACTCAGGGAGACGGGTGACGAGAAAGTAGAGGGTGATGTACATGGGAGGAGGGTTCGCAGCGCGGAACTCAGCAGGAAGGGCAGCGCGGTAGCGGGTGTCACTAGCACGGAGGTGGGTAACGAGGTCAGTGACAGTGGGAAAGGAAGCGAGGTCAGGGAAGAGAAACGGTAGCATGAGGCGGCTAAGGGTAGCGGAGGAAGGGGAGGAGTAGCGTGCAACTACAGCGTCGTACAAGGCCTGAGCGGTCTTGCACTGACTAAAGTGGGCACGCTCAGAGGAAGGGAGGTGGCGACGCACAGCAAGACGTGCAGCAGCATCGCGGGTCGCCCACTTGGAGCGAACGGCAGAGTCAGCATCAGCAGGTGGGGCAGGAACAGCGCCAGAGACAAAGTCAAAAAGAGAGACCCCATCTATCGCATCACACAGTAAGTACAGCTGCAGGTCTTCAATCCAGACGGCAAAGTCAATGGCCCTCCCCTCAGCGTCAAAAGTAAGAACATTGGGGGTGGCCATGGCAGCAGCTGGAAGTCTCACCGGGCTGGGAGAGTCGGGTAGGTCAGCAGCAGAAGAACACAGCTCAGGAACAGCAGCACGGCGGGTCGGGCGGCTCGGGCGGCTCGGGCGGCTCGGGCGGTTCGGGCGGCTCGGGCGGCGGCTCGGTCGCAGCTCAGCGGCGGCTCGGGCGGCTCGGCTGCTGCTGGGCGGCTCGGCGGCGGCTCGGGCGGCGCAGGCGGCGGCGGCTCGGCGGCGGCCCGGGCGGCGGCTCAGGCGGCGGCGGCTCGGCGGCGGCTCGGCTGCTGCTGGGCGGCTCGGCTGATGCTGGGCGGCTCGGCGGGGCCGCGGAGCAGAGGGCGGCGGTGCCGCGTAGGAGAGGGCGGCGGGGCCGCGTAGCAGAGGGCGGCGGGGCCGCGTAGCAGAGGGCGGCGGAGCCGCGTAGCAGAGGGCGGCGGGGCCGCGATCGAGGGGCGGCGGGGCCGCGTAGCAGAGGGCGGCAGGGCCGCGTAGCAGAAGGCGGCGGGGCCGCGTAGCTGAGGGCGGCGGGGCCGCGACGTAGGGCGGCGGGCGGGCCTTCGAAGTAGGGCGGCGGGCGGGCCGGGACGTAGGGCGGCGGGGCCGCGACGTAGGGCGGCGGGCGGGCCGTCGAAGTAGGGCGGCGGGCGGGCCGGGACGTAGGGCAGCGGGGGCCGCGACGTAGGGCGGCGGGCGGGCCGTCGAAGTAGGGCGGCGGGCCACGACGTAGGGCGGCGGGGCCGTCGAAGTAGGGCGGCGGGCAGGCCGCGACTTAGGGCGGCGAGGCCGCGCGATAGGGCGGCGGGGCCGCAAGGTAGGGCGGCTCGACAGGCCGCTAGGGAGGGCGACACGACGGGTCGCTAAAAAAAAAAGGACGCGCGCCTCGGGGCGCGCTTCGGTGGGCCCAAGAAACAGTCCCTAGTAGGGGACCTGCTCTGATACCATGTGAAAGAGAGAACGAGAATGAAATGACTATGAAAGAAGTGAGTACAAATAGGAAACCCTAATTGGGTTGTACCCCCTATGGGATACCCCACTATAGCCTACACAATAGTATAAGCTATATAGTTCTGACAGTCCATGCCAAGGGCACACTCACCCCCGACGGAAGGAGGACAGACAGACTCAGACTCAGCGACAAGACTAGCAGCGTAGTCTAGGCGACAGCGGGCAGCAAAGTCGACGAGCTCAGCAACTAGGGCAGACGCAGCAGTAGACTCGAAAGAAAGGTCAGTGACGACAGTAGCAAGGAGACGCGTGACGGTAGGACTGGCAGCACGAAGAGAGTCCGACTCCGGGTCGGCAAGAGCAGGAAGAGAGGACTCAGGAGGAGAAGGCAAAGGGGCACGCAGAGGAGCAGTAGACGGACGCAGAGACATCCTATGTGTGCCAGGGACAGGGGGAGGACGCTGACGCGAACCACGACCACTAGTGCGAGCAGCACGGACAGGCGACGCAGGACGAGACGCAGGCTCACGACACTCAGCAAGACCTCCAGTAGGACCAGTGTAGGGAGAAGGAGCAGGCAGTGGAGAGGCTGGCTGTAACTGTGAGTCGGACTGGACAGGCGGCGGACACTCTAAGAGAGGAGCAGGACCAAGAGAGGGCGGAATACCAAGAACGTGCTCTAGGAGCGGAACGAAGTATGGCCGCGGCCGTGCAGCGCCCCCAGAACCAGCAGGAACAACACCAGCACCCCCAGCGGCAGCACCAGCGCTAGTAGCACCCCCAGCTCCGGCAGCGCCAACTCCAGCACCCTCAGAAGCACCAGCGCCAGCAGCACCTCTAGCGCCAACACCCCCAGCAGCTCCAGCTCCAGCCGGACCACCAGAAGACACAATAGCTCCAGCTACAGCTCCAGCACCTCCAGTAGCACCGACTCCAGCAGCACCACCAGCTCCAGCACTAGGAGCACCCGCAGGCCCAACAGCTCCAGTACCCTCAGGACGAGCACGTCCGGGACCCGCGGCACCAGCACCCTCAGTAGCAGTAGAATCTCCAACACTAGTAGCAGCTCCAGCTCCAGCAGCACGGCTCAAGCGCCGAGCAAACCACTCGCGCAGCTACTGGGGGGGGGGACCTGGCGCGAGGAAGAGCGGCGGCGGGGGGACGGGTGCAGTGCAGTAGGAGAAGAGACGGTAGTAGGGAACCGACTCGTCAAACGTGACGTCTTGGGACGACAGAACACGGCGCGAGGTGGGGTGGTAGAACTACCACCCTGGTGCGTCAGGGGGGAAGCCAAGGAAGACGTAGGGAACAACACGGGGGGACAGCTTGTCCGCAGACAAGTCGCGGACAAACGCCCGAGATCCCCAGACACGGAACGCAGACGCATCGCCAACCTTCCCCGTCCACAGCAAAGCAGGGGAGGTCTCCAACATGGAGACCCGGGGCTGAAGGTTGATCTGATGCGCGGCATTCCGAACCGCAAACAGCCACAGAAAATGGTGGGCAGCCGCATGGACCATGGACGTACGAGCGACGTCCATGACCATGCCAATGCGGCGCTCAGCAATCCCATTTTTCTGTGGAGAGTTTGAATGCGTGAACATCTGGCGGATGCCTCGTGCACGACAGAAGGCTCGCAGAAGGTCAGAGGAGAACTCTCCGCCTCTGTCGGAGTGCAGACGAAGAACAGGAAAGTCCGAGCCGAAACTCTCTCTGAGCTGGAGACGAGCTGCGCAGATCCAGTCGATCAACACCCCAGTGACCTCACCCTTGCTGCGCAAGGGGAAGACTGTGGTGTAACGCGAGTAGTCGTCAACCACCAGCAGGAAGTAACGCTCATGACCCTGTTTAGCATACATGGCAGCAAGAATAGCATCATAATCAAGATCAAAGATAGGAACCCCCGATCTAAACAGCTCGCCCCAGCGAGGGATCTCAGTGGCGTCAGGGAACTGAAGACGCCAAGAGTCCGTCAGGCAGCCGAAGCAGCGTTGGGTGGAGTGCGGGCCCCCGCACTACTCACAAGTGCGGTCGCCGGTACGGAGGACGTAGGTACAGGGACTAGCACCCCCACCCCGCTGACGCGCAGCGTACCACTGACGAAGCTACTAGGGGGGCGGGGTCTCACGAGTGCGCTGCTGCTGCTGGCGCTGACCACCACCGGAGCCACCCCTCTGCGCAGAGCCGCCCCGACCAGCTCCACCTCTGCCGCCTCCGCCTCCGCCGCCACCGCCGCCACCTCTGCCTCCTCCGCTCCCACCGCCACCGCCGCCGCCTCTTCCGCCTCCACTGCCGCCACCGACGCCCCCACCCCCGCCACCACTCCCACCACCACCCCCACCCCCTCCACCGCCTCCACTGCCACCTCCACCGCCCCCCCCAGCTTCTCTAGCGCCCTTGCCCCCCTTGCCCTTGCCAGTGCGGCGTCTCCCGCTAGGTGCAGACGCAGCTCCGACCGACTCGAGGCCAACGAGGTCGGCCGCAGCAGCAGAGGCAACAGAGGGCAAGAGGGGGGAGGGGGAACACCCCTCAAAGAAGGGGGTACGAGGGTCACCACGAGAGGCTCCTACAGCGACTATACTCTTCTCTACTGCCAGGAGGCGCTCCTCGAGGAGGTCAACGGAGAGTGTGGTGGGGCAAAGAGAGAGGAAGTGGTCCCTGACTAAGTGAAGGGAGTCATGGAGCCGGGTGACTATGTAGTAGAGGGTGATGTACATGGGGGGGGGGGGGGGGGGGGGGGGGGGTCTTGGCGCAGAACTCAGCATGAAGCGCAGCGCGATAGCGAGTGTCACTAGTGCGAAGGTGCGTAATGAGGTCAGCGACTGTGGGGAAGGTGGCGAGGTCAGTGAACAGGTACGGCAGCATGAGGCGGCTAAGGGCAGCAGTGGCAGGGGAAGAGTAGCATGCAACTACAGCATCGTACAAGGTCTTAGCACTCTTGTACTGACTAAAATGCGCACGCTCAGTGGTCGGTAAGTGGCGACGCATAGCAAGACGGGCAGCTGCATCGCGTGTGGCCCACTGTGAGCGAACAGTGCTGTCAGCATCGGCAGGAGGGGCAGGAGAGGGACCAGACGTGAGATCGAACAGGGAGAGACCGTTTGTCCTATCGCACTGTAGGAAAAGTTGTACATCATCGACCCAGACCTCAAAGTCAACAGCCCGACCCTCAGCATCAAAGGTAAGGACACTGGGGGTAGCCATGATTGCAGCAGTCTAGCGGTAAGAGCAGCAGGCTAGGGGCAGCGCAGTGGCAGAGGCGCTGCTCGGGAGTGCTCTTACCAGTCCGAGTGGGTAAGGTCGAGGCGCGCCGGCAGGGACAGGGCCTCAACTGCGGCGGCGGCGTGCCTCGGCTGCGGCGGCGGCGGCAGCTGCGGCCGCGGCTCGACGGCAGCGGCTCGACGGCGGCGGCGGCTCAAAGGCGGCGGCTCGAAGGCGGAGGCGGCAGCTGCCGCGCGACTCGACGGCGGCGGCTCGATGGCGGCGGCGATTGCTGCGGCGGCGGCTCGAAGGTGGCGGCTCGACGGCCGCCGCGGCTCGGCGGCGGCGGCTCGACGGCGGCGGCGGCCCAACGGCGGTGGCGGCTCGACGGCAGCGGCGGCTGCAGCTCGACGGCGGCGGCGGCTCAACGGCAGCGGCGGCTGCGGCTCGACGGCGGCGGCGGCTGCTGCCGACGGCGGTGGCGGCTGAGGCGGCGGCATGGCCGGGGCAGCAGCGGCGGCGGCGACGGCGGCGACTGCAGTCGGCAGTGGTGGCGGCTGCAGAGGTGAAGGGGCCGGGGAGGGGCCGCAAAGGGGCTGCGAAGGGCAGCGACGGGGCCAAGAAGGGGCCGCGAAGGGGCCGAGAGGAGGCCGCAAAGGGCGGCGACGGGGCCGCCACGAGGCCGCAAAGGGCGACGACGGGGCCGCAAAGGGTGGCGACGGGGCCGCTAAGGGCGACGACGGGGCCGCGAGAGGGCTGCGACGGGGCCGCGAGAGGGCGGCGACGGGGCCGTGAAGGGCGATGGCGGGGCCGCGAAGGGCGGCGGCGGGGCCGCGAAGGGCGACGACGGGGCCGCGAAGGGCGGCGGCAGGGCCGCGAAGGGGGGCGACGGGGCCGTGAAGGGCGGCGACGGGGCCGCGAAGGGCGGCGACGGGGCCGCGAAGAGGGGGCGACGGGGCCGCGAAGGACGGCGACGGGGCCGCTAAGGGCGGCGACGGGGCCGCTAAGGGCGGCGACGGGGCCGCTAAGGGCGGCGATGGGGCCGCTAAGGGCGGCGACGGGGCCGCGTAGGGCGGCGACGGGGCCGAGAAGGGGGCCGCGAGGGGCCGTGAAGAGGGGCCTCTAAGAGGGCGCGACGGGCCGCCCAGGGCAGGGGACGCGACTGGAGGGCGGCCCACGGGGCGCGCCTCGGGCAGGGACGACGCGCGCTCCGGGCAGGAAAAAAAAAATCGATTTTGGTGGGCCCTAGGAAAAGTTCCTACTAGGGAACCTGCTCCATACCATGTGAAGAAATGAGGAATGAGTGAACTAGGAAATGAGTTGGGTACAAATATGAAACCCTAGGAAACTGTACCCCATACTGTCTACCCCACGACAGCCTAGAAAGACTAAAGCATAAATGTTTGACAGATTTCGCTAACAAATTTGAAGCCCGTCCGAAACTGTTTGCGAACCAGTTCTGACGTTGCATTCCAGATCTGGTTATTTTCGCGAAATTTTCTTCCTTCGCGACCCCAGACCACCAATTTCGACACCACCCTGGCTCGCGAGCCAGTCACCTTTCTCTCCCCTTTCAACCTTCCTAACTTAGAAACTCTTGGACCTCCGGTTTTAAATTACTTGTTTCCTGTCAGAACATTATAGCTTGCTTATTTGTGTAGGCTATAGTGGGGTATCCCATAGGGGGTACAACCCAATTAGGGTTTCCTATATGTACTCACTTCATTCATAGTCATTTCATTCTCGTTCTCATTCTCACATGGAATCAGAGCAGGTCCCCTCCTAGGGACTGTTTCTTGGGCCCACTGAAGCGCGCCCCGAGGCGCGCGTTCCTTTTTTTTTTTAACGACTCGTCGTGTTGCCCCCCCCCCCCCCCCCCCCCCCCCCCCCTAGCGGCCCGTCGCGCCGCCTTTTCGGTCGCCGCCCCGCCGCCCTACTCTTGCGGCCTCGCCGCCCTACGTCGCGGCCCCGCCGCCCTACCCTACGTCGCGGCCCCGCCGCCCTACCCCTCGACGGCGCCGCCGCCCTACGTCGCGGCCCCGCCGCCCTACCCTTCGACGGCCCCGCCGCCCAACGTCGCGGCCCCGCCGCCCTACCCTTCGACGGCCCCGCCGCCCTACGTCGCGGCCCCGCCGCCCTACCCTACGTCGCGGCCCCGCCGCCCTACCCCTCAACGGCGCCGCCGCCCTACGTCGCGGCCCCGCCGCCCTACTTCGACGGCCCCGCCGCCCTACTTCGACGGCCCCGCCGCCCTACGTCGCGGCCCTGCCGCCCTACCCTACGTCGCGGCCCCGCCGCCCTACCCTTCGACGGCCCCACCGCCCTACGTCGCGGCCACCCCCCGCCGCCCTACTTCGATGGCCCCGCCGCCCTACGTTGCGGCCCCACCGCCCTACGTTGCGGCCCCACCGCCCTTCTCGACGGCCCCGCCGTACTACGTCACGGCCCCGCCGCCCTACTCAGCGGCCCGCCAGACGCCCTACCTGCGGCACGCCTGCCGCCCTACCTGCGGCCCACCCGCCGCCCTACCTACGACCGCCGCGCCGCCCTGGACCAAAGCCGCCCGACCACCGGGTCGCCCAGCCGCTGAGCCGCCGAGCCGCCCAGCAGCCGAGCCGCCGAGCCGCCCAGCAGCCGAGCCACCCAGCAGCCGAGCCGCCGAGCCGCCGAGCCGCCCAGCAGCCGAGCAGCCGAGTCGCCGAGCCGCCCAGCAGCCGAGCCGCCCAGCAGCCGAGCCGCCGGCCGCTGAGCTGCCCTACTTTCAGACCGCCTGTTCTGCCCAGTCTGGTGAGCACAGAGCCTTCTTTTTCACTGCACTGCCCTCACCCTACTGCTTGCACTGCTAGGCGTCTGTCGTCATGGCTACCCCCAGTGTCCTTGCTTTTGACGCTGAGGGTCGGGCCATTGACTTTGAGGTCTGGGTAGATGACCTCCAGCTGTTCTTACAGTGCGATAGGGCAGACGACCTCTCTCTCTTTGACCTTACCTCTGGCGCTTCCCCTGCCCTTGCTGCTGATGCTGACCCTACTGTTCGCTCCCAGTGGGCTACGCGCGATGCTGCTGCACGTCTTGCTGTGCGTCGCCACCTCCCTACCTCTTAGCGTGCGCACTTTAGTCAGTACAAGAGTGCTCAGACCTTGTACGACGCTGTAGTTGCGCGCTACTCCTCCCCTGCCACTGCTGCACTGAGCCGCCTCATGCTACCCTTCCTTTTCCCTGACCTTGCCGCCTTTCCCACAGTCGCTGATCTCATTACGCACCTCCGCACTAGTGACACCCGCTACCGCGCTGCGCTTCCTGCTGACTTCTGCGCCAAGAACCCCCCCCCCCCCATGTACATCATTCTCTACTTTCTAGTCACCCGCCTCCCCGACTCCCTTCGTGTAGTCCGGGACCACTTCCTTGCGGTCTGTCCCACCACTCTCACAGTCGACAGCCTAGAAAAGGCCCTCCTAGCGGCGGAGAAGAGCATCGTCGCTGTAGGAGCCTCTCGAGGTGACCCCCGCGCCCCCATCTTTGAGGGGTGTTCTCCTTCCCCTCTCTTGCCCTCTGTCGCCTCTGCCGCTGCGGCTGACCTCGTTGGTCTTGAGTCGGTCGGTGCGGCGTCTGCCCCTAGCGGGAGACGTCGCCCTGGCAAGGGCAAGGGGGGCAAGGGAGCGGGTGGGGCTAGCGGGGACGGTGGCGGTGGAGGTGGAGGCGGCGGAGGGAGTGGGGGTGGCGGTGGAGGAGGTGGCGGGGGTGGGGGTGCTAGTGGCAGCAGTGGTGGCAGAGGCGGCGTCGGCGGCGGCGGTACTGGCGGGGGTGGCGGCGGTGGCGGAGGTGGAGGAGGTGGAGGAGGAGGTGGTGGAGGTGGTCGGAGTGGCACTTCACAGCGGAGTGGCACTTCACAGCGGAGCGGCACTGGGGGTGGTCAGCGCCAGCAGCAGCAGCAGCAGCAGCAGCAGCAGCAGCAGCAGCAGCAGCAGCAGCAGCAGCAGTGTTCTCGCGACGTCCCCACCCCTCAGCAGCTCCGTGAGTGGTACACGCAGCGTCAGCGTGGTGGGGGTCTTGGTCCCTGCACCTACGTCCTTCGCACCGGCGACCGCGCGGGTGAGCAGTGTGGGGGTGCCCACCCCACCCAGCGCTGTTTTGGCCGCCTGACAGACGCTTGGCGTCAGCAGTTTCCGGAGGCCACGGAGATCCCCCGCTGGGGAGAGCTGTCTAGGGCTGGCGTAGCTATCTTTGATCTTGACTTTGATGCTATCCTTGCTGCCATGTATGCTGTGACTATTAGTGATGAGGGTGACTGTTACCGGTGTTTTCCGCACGACCCGGGCATTGAGACTGCTGCTATAGGTACTGGTGAGGCTGCTGCCCTAGGTGCTTGCAACGCTGCTGCTCTGGGTGCTAGTGTGTCTGCGTCCCCAGGTACTGGTAAGTCTGCGCTCTCAGGTACTACGTCGGCTTCGGCCTCTCACACCTTCACCCTTGACTCTGGGGCGTCTCGCTCCTTCTTTTGGGATCGCACCACACTCACGCCGCTTAGTCGGCCGGTTGCGCTCTCCCTGGCTGACCCCTCAGAGGGTCCTGTCCTGTCTCGCTTCTCCACTGTTCTCCCGTGTCCGGCGGCTCCCTCTGGCACCCTGTCTGGTCTCTACCTCCCCTCGTTCTCTACAAACTTGGTGAGGGGTGCTGACCTACAGGATGCGGGAGTCCACCAGTTCACCCCTGCTCGTCAGCGGGTGACGCACTGCACAGAGGCTAGCACAGGTCGACACCTGGCTACGTTTACCCGTCAGCCAGGGCCGAGCCTGTACACACTGACCACTGCGTCCCCCCCAGTTACTGAGTCTGGTAGGGTCCCTGCGTCTGGTCAGGTGTTTGCTGCAGCGTCCAGGTCTGGTCCTGAGTCTGCCCCCTGTTCGTGTCGTCTCCTGTCTCACGAGACTCTCCTCTGGCACCACCGCCTTGGTCACCCCTCTCTGCTTCGGCTCAGAGGCATGGCCTCCCGTCTTCTTGTGTCT